CATACAAACAAGTGTTATTTATAATGTCACTGCATTCTGATTAATTTACGTTTCATTTTATGCGAAGTTTTTTTGTAAAAGTAATGAAATATAGTAAATAGATAAGAGTTTTAATGAATTTCAATTCTTCCTAATTTTTACCTGCACAGCTTTATATGGGAAGTTAAGAAAGTAAAGGTTACAAATAAGTATATATTTGAATATGACTGTAAGTAATTTGAAGCTCTATTTGCAAAGGTGAAGTTGTGAGATAAAGGGGCCAGCAGGAATACATACGCATTACTTCAAGATTTTGTAGTAAATAGCTTGCTTCGACAAGCTGAGCTGCACTGGAACTTCTATCTTAATTCGCTTGAATTTGAATTATCAGACTAAGACAATATTTTACATTACTTTAAGCAGTATTCTTGCAAATACGATTCCATTTGCAATTACTGTGAACATTTTCTGGCATTTCTTTTAATTTTATTGTTGGAAATGCACAAGATATTGGCAAAAATGATTTTCTTGATAATTATAAAAGTATTAGCAAGAAGGAAGCGAGCATATCCTGCAAAGCCCTGCACTGACTAATTTAATCATTGCTTAATTGAAGTTTATTTTCTGTATTTTACTTTTCCTTCGCCTTAAACTATTATAAGTTAGACTTTTCTTGAGTTTCATACTTATTAATAGCATCTTTAGTCCAATTTACAGTCAAGACTTATGCATTCGATTTTATCCACTAAATTATTTCTAGAAATTGCCCTTTAATTTAGTATCTTTAAAATACATTTTACAAAGCGTAAATGTTAGCGGGAATTTAGAAGACAGTTAATTATTTTATTAAGAGCACAAAATTGTAAAACTATAGTTAGAAATGAAATGAATTCATGCACTTACTTAACAGAACGCTCAGGTTTAAAGCGAATTAATCTTAATGAATTAATTCAAGCGAAAAACTATTTTTTGTTGAATTCTCGAAATAAAAATGATTGAAAGCTGGAGCTGTTCTCGATAATTCCCTCAACACTTTATGTATTTTCATCGTTATTTCGTGAGGATTTTAAGGACTAGCTAATTTTCCGCTAAAACTAATTCATTAAGACTTTAAGTCTTGAGGTGATTTCAGGAATTCGAATTACTTCGATGTGCAACTCCTGCAACAAATTGATTAATATTCGGACTAGCCTAAATCACCCTCAACATTTTCAGCAAAAAAAATTAAAAAATATCTATTTGGTTTTTCGATCATGTACCTACCTCAGTGTTATCCAGCAAATTCATGAAAGTAGCTTTTTCTCAAAAATTTAACTAATAATGAATTTACCAATAACAGCCAACAAGAAGCATCTCAGAATAAAATCGTATCTAAAATTATAAAGCATATAGACTTAAAACGAAGACGCTATATTAGAATAATCAAAAAACTTCATCAATATCTTACCAAAACTCAATAGTTCGGTCATTTCATGCGGACTTCTTCACAGTACAAACATCGAAAAAAAGCATGATAATTTGATAATAATTATTTTCAATCTCTCATAATCAGTGTTTTGCTTTTTTTTACTTTCCATAAATGTTAAGGATGTGAGAGCTGTATGCAAAACCAGGATCATTGAGTATATACCGGGAAATCACCAAGAAATGAGTCTAATTTACAATCAGCTATTATCATTCCAATTCTGAAATTATCAGCTATTGTATCTTTATCATTTTTTCAAATGGAAATTAATTTGCTAATACTTGTAGCTCCCTGTGATTAAATAGATCGAAATCAGTGTTAATAGATATTTTAAAATTTGAGAATTTTTTAGAGTTTAAATGAATGTGAAAAATTTGCTTTTAGCTTCGATAGTCGATTTCTGAACTGGAAAAACTGCTCCGATTTATGCGTGATATTGAAAATAAATGATCGTCTTGGAGGTAATAATTTCAAGCATACTGTAATGACACAATAAATAAATTCATTGTTTATTTTATCATTATTGTTTTTTTCTCGGAATTAGTAAGACACTGTTTTAGCAGCTAATTAATTCTGTAAATCTACAGTAAAAATACAGTCAAGATCATTTGTGTTTTGTAAATGTAAGAAATAACAATAATAACTGCAAAATCGAGGAATATTTTAAAGAAAAACAGTTTTTGAGTTATTATTATTTTATTGGCTGATTATAAACAGCAATAATTGGCTTGGTATTATACTAGCTCAGTATGAGAGGTATCAACATTACTTTAAATACTCCTCTCAAGTTCTTGACACAGTTGAGATAATCTCACTGAGATCATTAGTTTCGAATATGCTTACAATCAAACGTAAGAATTTTTTCAGATTGCAGTTATATTTTAATAAATAATAAGTAGTAAGTTCGAGAGAAAAAAAAGAAGTGGATTTTCTGTATGAAAATCAGCTTCGGTCAGAGTGCATTCTCGAATAATCGCTATGAAACAGAGAAACAAAACTAACTTAACTGTTTATTTTAAGTAAACAAGTGAGCATATATGTACGTTTGTAATTATTACAATATTAACTTCAGGACGTCGTCGTGAAGGCTATCTGCGCGGTTGTATGTCTGATATCATCCACTATAATCAAACACTGGCTGTATTAGGTGTTACAAATACGTGTGCTATTGTAGGTTTGCGCGACTTATTTGTATCCAACGAAAGGTAAGGCTTAATTTCTCCCTACTTACTAATAATTAAGTTATAATTAGCATGAATGTTTCTTCAATGAAATAAAATTGTTCCATTTCAATTTATTACTCTAGAAAATATTATTTTTAAAAATTCCTCACTAGAGCTAAAACGCCACATTGTAAATTTCAGTCAATTTTGGTTATTGTGATATTCATCACTCAACAAATTAATTTAAATTCTATCTTTGTTAAAGAGGCTTGTAGTTAGCAAAATTTGCATGAATTTTATTTTCAATTCTTTTTTTCAACTTAGTTTTTAATCGTAATTAAACCTGGTTATAGAATTTTCAAATTTAAACTTTTACCCACTCATTATCAAAGTATTACATCTGCAAACTTTATAATCGAACCCAATGTGTGATTAAAAAATCTTAATGAGGTTAATAAATTTCAATGAATAAACTATTATTGCTTATTGGGTAACAATTAAGATTCTAATCATGATAGAAATTTTTAAAAATGGAAAACCTGCTGTCTTATATCCTATTAGATCGAACAGAAATCAAAAATCACATTAAAGTTGGAATAAACCGAAAAAATTGCTCTCTAATATTCGGAGAAAATTTAATTAAATGCTTTATTTTGTGAAGTTGAACGAAACGAAACTTGTCCTACTTTCAGGCCAAAAACCAAAAAAAAACAGATAAATAGCCGTCAATTTCCTTGATTAATTTAATTAGTGATTATCAGTAGTAATAAGTAATTATCAAGCGATTGATTACTCCCAATTTGATCAATTCTAGGCATTTGTTCGAGAGTACCGATCGAGTACAATTATGTGCGTGTCACAAAGACTTCTGTAACTCATCGCCTTCTATAATATCCATTCACTTTTTAGTGTTTTTGGTCATTGTTTTGATTGAATTTTCATGATTTATGCTCAACTTTAATTTTTATTATTTAAATTTGAAGAAAAAAAAACTACGTCTATATTGCGCATGTATTTCTGAATGAATATCGGGAAATTCTCCTGA